ACAACATTGCTCTGTTTGTGCCGGGGGACTGGATCTTTGGGATGAACCAGTCTTTAATGTATTTTGGGGTTTAAAAGCCACTGGGATGTTATGTTTAGAAAATAAACGTCTCAGTTTCTCTGATACTCCCTCAACATACGGAATGACCACTGGTCTGGGTCTGGGTTCCTCCTTTTCACCTGATGGCTGACTGGAGTCCTGTTTGGGTTTCTTCTCTGCTTTCAGGAAGGCCCAGTTAGGATATCCACATTGCTCTAGAGCCTGTCTTGTGTGGGATTTCTCCTTCTGCCTGGCTCTGCAGACATGTTCCTGTTGCTAGTTTTCTACATCGTCTTACAATTTAGCCGTTTTTGTTTAATTTTTTTAAGACCATTTTCCTTCATTTGTTCTTCTCAATTTTTATGCTTTCTTCTATGATTTTCTACTGTAGTCTTTGTTGTCATCATTCTTTGTTAAATTCAGGTCTCTCTTGTAAATGAGTCGCCGAGGCTCAACGGAACTAACCTGTATAAATAAAGGTTGAATGAATGAAAAAAGTCAAGACAGAAAATCACTACTGAGCAGCTAAAGGATATTCCACAAGCTCCTGGATCACCTTACAGCTTTAACTTTTTGTTTATTCGTTATTAAATAATGACTTCTGTCCTGACTTTCACCAAAAATTCTTTAATGTTACACAAACTCACTTGGAAACTGTGTACTACATCAGAATGCCTGAAAATTCAAAAATATTCAATCAACCAGAAGAATTGTTGCTTGGACAGAAATTCTAATTTTCTGCTTTAGTGGTTTCCTGAACTCGTCCAAGTGAATTAAAAAGGTAATTATTTTAAAAAAGAGAGGCGTTCATTCATTACCTGGATGGTTTCCTCTGGTAATTTCTGCTGTGATTAAACAAACCTGTCAGGATTACATTAGTGAATAACTGGATTTAACTCATATTAGTTGGTTCAGCTAAGTCCAAATCATATGAAAGTAGAAGTTCCCAAAAGGTGAAGCAGGGTCAGGAGCCACAGGAAGTCCATTTTGGACCCAGATCAACTGCAGAATATGCTTGGCTGTCACCAAAATAGAAAAAAGGCAAAGGAAATCTGGTATTTTTATCCTACCTGTTTTTTCTTCCTTGTCAAATTAGTTCGTATTAAATGGACTGTACTTATATAACGCCTTTCTATCTGATCAAGATACTCAAAGTGCTTCACACAACAATCTGTGCCTCATTTACCCATTCAAACAGCACTCTACTAGATCTCTACAAAGATAATTGAACAAATCTTTCTACAGAGACTAATCAGAGCTTTATCACATTCATACACCGATGAGACACACTTTGAAGGCAACGAGGGGTTCAGTGTCTTGCCCAGGGACACTTCAGCATGTGACTGCTGGTGGAGTCGAACCCCCAACTCCTGCATTGGAGGACGACTGCTCTAACCACTCAGCCACAGCCGTCCGTTAGTCACCATTACCATCTTATTTGTCGCTGTTGCTCCTTATTTGACGTCGTTACCGTCTCATTTGTCGTCGTCGTTAGTCTCATTTGTTGTCGTTACGTCTCATTTGTTGTCATTACCTTCTCATTTGTTGTCGTTACCGTCTCATTTGTTGTCGTTACCGTCTCATTTGTTGTCGTTACAGTCTCATTTGTTGTCGTTACCTTCTCATTTGTTGTCTTTACGTCTCATTTGTTGTCGTTACCTTCTCATTTGTTGTCGTTACCTTCTCATTTGTTGTTGTTACCGTCTCATTTGTCGTCGTCGTTACAGTCTCATTTGTCGTCGTCGTTACCGTCTCATTTGTTGTTACCGTCTCATTTGTTGTTACCTTCTCATTTGTTGTCGTTACGTCTCATTTGTTGTCGTTACGTCTCATTTGTTGTCGTTACGTCTCATTTGTTGTCGTTACAGTCTCATTTGTTGTCGTTACAGTCTCATTTGTTGTCGTTACAGTCTCATTTGTTGTCGTTACAGTCTCATTTGCTGTCGTTACAGTCTCATTTGCTGTCTTTAGTCTCATTTGCTGTCTTTAGTCTCATTTGCTGTCTTTAGTCTCATTTGCTGTCGTTACCTTCTCATTTGTTGTCGTTACCTTCTCGTTTGTTGTTGTTACCGTCTCATTTGTCGTCGTCGTTACCGTCTCATTTGTTGTTACCTTCTCATTTGTTGTCGTTACGTCTTATTTGTTGTCATTACTGTCATAATTGTTGTTTTTAAAGTTAAAGTTGCTTTTATCACCGTTCTCATTGTTATGAATGTTATTGCAAATATTTTCCCTCTAAACCTTTCTTTAAGAAACGATAGGTTGGAATTTAATTGACTGCTAGTGTTTTGGAATTTAAAGGGGAAAATTGACAAAATAAAAAATTACATTAAGTATAAATGAATGAGGGCAGCACGGTGGCGCAACTGGTAGAGCTGCTGCCTCTCAGCGAGCAGGTCCCTGGTTCAAACCCCGGTCCAGGAGCCTTTCTGGGTGGAGTTTGCATGTTCTCTCCGTGCATGCGTGGGTTTTCTCGAGGTGCTCCAGTTTCCTCCCACAGACCAAAAACATGCATGTTAGGCTGATTGGTAACTCTAAATTGTCCCTAGGTGAGTGACAGTGAATGGTTGTTTGTCTCGTTTGTCTCTATGTGTCCCTGTGATGGACTGGAGACCTGTCCAGGGTGTCCCCCGCCCCTCGCACAGTGATTGCTGGACATGGGCACCGGCGACCCCCGTGACCCAAAATGGAAGAAGCGAGTAAAAGATGATGGATGGATGTATAAATAACTGAATGTCTGCTGTTCTGTTTGTGTATTCATGTCATAAATCACACTGAGGAATGTTCCATTTTCTGTTAAAATTAGTAAATGTTTTAATAAATTCTGCTCATTTTGGCTCTAATTTTACACATCAGGTGATCTTTGTTTTCAGAGACCAGCGGGGAATCTGAGACCTGAAACCTTGTTGTTCTTTCAGATGGATTCTTTGGACCGTTTCTGTGGTTCCTCTCTAACCGGAGCTGGTATCAGCGGTCGGCATGGTGTCGGGTTACTCGCCCGAGGCCGAAGGAGGAAACGGGAGAGCTGGACACCTCCCCCTCCTAATCACTTCCTGCTCTCTGACCACAGACTCCTCTGCCTCCATGTGGTTCTGATCCGAGGTTCTGCCCTGAAACCAGCAGCACGAGCAGAGGCTGATGGGAGATCTGAGGTGGCACTTTAGTGGCGGGCGATAATGTTTTTACATTTGTCAGCAAAATATCTCATGAACCACTGGTCAGATTTTAACCAAGCCTGCACAAATTGAATGGGTGGTGGTGCAGAGCTGGAACTCATTAACTTTTGGAGTCAGTCGATTTAAGGCAGCTGCCACAGCTGCTGGTGATCGATATGAGCAAACAAAAAGCACTAGCTCCATCCATTTTGCAGATATGAAGTTAGAATGGTGCACAAATCGCTCCAGAAAAGTTTCAGGAGTGATTTGTGACAAAAGGGTGTCGGCAAAGGTAATGAAAGAAGAAGAAGCTTTAACGGTGTGGTAGTCGCTGAGAGTCATGGTCACAGTTCACGATCCGGCACCGATAGTGAAACTGAACAGACTCTCTGATGCACAGTTTCAATGATTACTCAGCAGTTCTTCAGCTCAAACATCCTCCTGTGAGTCAGCAAAAATCTCTGCTGGCACGACACTCATTTAAGGACTTTGAAAACGCTGCGGTACAAAAAATATAAACTCACAAAACAAACTCAGGTCCGCCTTGGTCGTTAGACCAAAAACCAGAACGGTGAACAAGAAAACAGGTCAGCAAAGCAAAATACAAAAAGGACCAAACTGAAAAAGAATAAAAGGTATAAACGATCAAAGATTGAAAAAAGTAATTCCTGCAGTTTAGAAATTTGGTGTTTTATAAGCTGCAACAAGCTACATTATGAATGTGCCGGTTTGAAAGCTTGATTTTTATTGGTCTGGAGTGATGTAATCTGGAATTCAAGCCTGACGGATTATATAAAGGGATTTCCCTGCACGGTGGCAGGAAATTATAAGGGTTAGAAACCAAAGGGTTACTTCTGAAGACATACCCGTTTAAAACTTTGACTTTCATTTCACGCTGATTCAGATGGTGACTCATTTTTAGCTCAAGTTGCTTTAAACAAAAACTGGAGGACAAGATAGAAATTAAATAAAAATTATGTTATTGTAAAAAAATCAGATTTGGTCCAAAATCGCCAACCATGAGGATCAAAGATGTTCCGAAGAACTCAAGTTTAATACCAAATGTTTGATGAAAACCATCGAACCGATTAAAAAATAAAAGTTTGTGAAAGATCGACACGTTTTCAGATTTCTCCTCGACAGAGAACATCATGGAGCCATGGAGGGACCTGGAGGAACTTCAGGTCTCAGCCAATCCCTCTGATGGAACCACATCAGGACTCTGTCAACTGCAAGTAGAACCTCATGGACCCACAGAACCTCAGCAGCAGCTGACTGAACCAGGATGTTACAAACAGAAATGTTTATTTTTAGTGTAAAACAAACAGTTTGAACCCTCCTGCTGCCCTTGGGTCGTGAGGGTCATTGACCCATGAGGCCTGTCGTAACAATCAGTGGGTAATTTTGACCCAAGGGCAGCAGGAGGGTTCAGTGTAAACTACAGGAACACCCCCAACAATTTTCAGATTTTGCAAACAGCTACAAAAAAAATTCATGTTTTTTTCCCCAAAATCATCTTTTTGTTTTTTATTTATTTTATTTTAAATTCCCTGAACCTGAACCACCAAAACAAACAATCCTGTTTAAACGGGTTTTAAAACTGATCTTAATGAACCGATGGAGTCCGCAGGAACAAGACCAGAACATTTATCTGTTGTCGGTTCTCCAAGCACGACGTTCTGGACGCGTCATAATTCCAAAACAGCCGAGTCATTGTCGGTTCTGCCCGACACTCGGCGCCGATCACAGCAACAAAAACAACAAACCAGAGCGGAAAACAGAAGAAGAAGAAGCAGAGATGCCTACCTTAGTACCAACTGTTATATCGTGGTGGACACTGCTGGGAAGAGAAGACAGCGTGTTAGAAGCAGCAGGGAGAAAAACTCAAAAAACAGCAGCAAAAGGTAAACAAAGGTAAACAAAGGTAAACAAAAATAAACAAAAACCAACAAAAACAAAGAGGAGTTGGAAGCTGAGAGAAGCCCCGCGGAGCAGAGAGATCCACGAAACAGAGCAGAGCTGCAGACACACACCCAGGACTGCAGGACTTCAGGGGGGTTCCTCAGGGCCCCGCTGAGAAACAAATCCAGAACTTTGACCGGATCAAAACATCACAGAGCCGAAGATGAGGAAACCGGAGGATGAGTTTAAATTCTGTATTGGTTTAAACCACAGAAGGTGGATTTACTGGTAAATTCTGTGAAAATTCACCGAGCTGTTGGAGACGAACAGAGCACCAGCTAAAAGAAACCACTAGCAAAAACAGCAGAAATAGAAAAGTAGAAAGGAATAGCTAAACATAAAAATAGTGCAAAGCTAGCTACAAGCTAAAATTAGCAAACACTAATGAGCGAAAAGTGGTAAAAGTTACCAAGAAGCTAAGATAGATAATAGCTAAATGTACCCATACACCAACTACAAGCTAAAAGTAGTGAAAATATAAAAATAGTGTAAGGCTAGCTAAAGGCTAATTGCAGCAAAAAGTTAGCTAGAAGCAAAAAGTTAAAAAAGTAAAAGTTTCAAGAGCTAGCTACATGTAACAGGAGGCTAGCTAAAAGTTAAATGCTGCAAAGCACCAGCTAAAAGACAAAAGTAGCCAATGCTACCTAAAAGTAATCCAATACCAGCTGCAAGCTACTAGTAGCAACACAGCTTGCCAAAAGCTAATTGCTTCAAAAGGCTTGCTAAAAGTAGAAAAAAAAACAGAAAAGTTGCAAAAGGCTAGCTAAACGCAACACGAGGCAAGTTTGAAATAAAAAGTGCAAAGCTAGCTAAACACCAAATGCTGCAAATGAATAGCTAAAAAATAAAATAAGGAAATGTGAGCTACAAGTAGCTAAATTTTAGGTAAAAGAAGCTATACACCAGTTACAAGCTAACAGCAGTGCAAGGTTAGCTAAAAGTAGAAAAAATATATAAAAGTTGCAAAAGGTTAAAGGTGACAAGAGGCTAGTAAAAAGTTAAAGAAGTGCAAAGCAGCTAAATGTTAAAATTTTCAAATAGTGAAAACACAAAAGTAGCAAATATTAGCTAAAGGTAATCAACAAGCTGTAAGCGAAAAGTAATGCAAGGCTAGTTAATAGACGTAAAAGGCTAGCATAAAGCTAAAAGTAGCAAAATAGTAGCTTAAAGTTGAACGTAGCTTTAGAAAACAGAACAGACAATAGACAAAGCAGATTTAAAAGAGAATGGTTCTGACAGAATTTTAGCGATTTTAACGTATTTCTATAAAAAAATTACTTGCAAATGAAGTTAAAAGATTTTAAAAGGTTTATAAGTTACAAAAAACCAAAAGTCTCAGCACCTATCAGCCAAACGAGCTGAACGTTGACGATCCTGCGCTCGAAGAACTCTTTTTAAAAATGTTCTTCCTGCGTCTTTAACAAGTTCCCACGAAAATATTAACGTGGTCGTTAAATTCACCAACTATTCTCCAACATGCAGCCCAGTGAGGTGCGAACCTACCTGATCTGCTGGTGTCAACCCCGTCTGTCAGCAAAATATCTCATGAACCACCAGGCAATTTTAAATTACAGTAAACTAACCAAAGCGATTCACTTCTGAAGTCAACATGATTAAAAATGGCCGCCTCAGCTACTAGCAAACACAAAAAGAGCAACGACTCAGTCAGTTTTATAGATATTGAGCTAGTTGATGGTGGCGGAGGCCGAGAGTCATCCACGACACATATAGTAATTCCTGACCACCAAGATTCACAAGGATGACAAACATTATACGAAGGGATTTCTCGGTGCTATGGCAGCCGGCAGAGAAAAACAGTTTTAAAGAAAATTTTAAGAACTATTTTTGAAGTGCCTGTTAGGAAACTGATTTAACTGTAAACTAAGATCAAAAAAGGTTGAATCATGTCATCTGGACTTCGTTTTTTTGTTAAAAAGAAACGTTTCGCCCCTCATCCAAGAGGCTTCGTCAGTCTGAGGCCTAGCCATCTGGTATTACCCAGAAGCCACCCTGACTCTTGTGTTTCAAGCCTGCCTCAGATACCCCTGAAGTCTGGCCTTTTCACTAATGGTTTCAAAAACACAAAGTTTGTTTTCTCAGTCATCCAGGTATATAACAACAAAAAAGGTTACCTGGATACCTGGATGACTGAGAAAACAAACTTTGTGTTTTTGAAACCATTA